CATGGGCAGGATAATGCGTACATTTCTTACCAAGCATTGCAGCCTCCTCCTTTGTTTACCCTTCCCATCCCTTCCCAGCCTCCCCCCTCCCCCTCATTTTTTTTTTTTTGGTTGGTCGTGGGGCTTGAGCTCTGGGGCCTGGGCACTGTCCCTCAGCTCTTCAGCTCTACTGCTTGAGCCACAGCACCACTTCCAGTTTTCGAGTGGTTTATTGGAGATAAGGGTCTCACGGACTTTCCTGCCCGGGCTGGCTTTGAACCGTGATCCTCAGATCTCAGCCTCCTGAGTAGGTAGGATTACAGGCATGAGCCACCAGCGCCCGGCTTTGATCTCATTTTAATAATATTCTTGAAAAGGAAAAGTTATAGGTATGGAAAACAGATAAATAGGAATTGTGATGAGACATCAGAGAACTTCCCAGACTAGAGGAAATATTCTGATCATGTTGATAGGTACCTGACTATATATGCTTGACACAACTCATACATCTGTACACTTTCATGTGTGTGTGTGTGTGTGTGTGTTGGTACTGGGGTTTAAACTTAGGGCTTGTACTCCTCCTTAGCCTTTTAACTCAGAGCTGGTGCTCTACCACTTGAGCCACCACCCTACTTCTAGCTTTTAAAAAATGTTTGTGCCAGTCCTGGGGCTTGAATTCAGGGTCTAAGCACTGTCACTGAGCTTCTTTTGCTCAAGGCTAGTACTCTACCACTAAGCCACTCCCAGCCCTATGTCTAGCTTTTTGCTGGTTAAATTGGAGATGAGTCTCTCAGATTTGCCTACTCAGGCTGGCTTCAAATTATGACACAGCTGTCTATTTTTAATCCACTTTTATAATATACATATATATGTAGCATGCCTTAAAAACTGATTTTTTTTGTCAGTCATGGGACTTGAACTCAGCTCAAGGCAAATGCTCTACCACTTGAGCCACAGCACCACTTCTGGTTTTCTGATGGTTAATTGGAGATAAGAGTCTCATTGACTTTTCTGCTTGGGCTGGCTTTGAACCATAATCCTTAGATATCAGCCTGTTGAATAGCTGACCCTTGATTTCTCATGCTCTTGCTCTAATTCTAAGAGGCAACCTAAGCAATGGTTTTTCTGGGCCTTTGAATTAACTAAATGCTGGATGCTCAGTCGTCCCCCCTCCCCCCCCCCACACTTTGTATCTGTGCTCTTTGATCTGAGCTATTCTTTGCCCAAGACACTTTAAAACCTTCTTGGGCTCCAAGAAAGACAAGATCAGCATCTTGTGACAGAGGTAAAACTGCCTCTCAAGAAGCAATGCCATCGGAGCTGGGAATGTGGCTTAGTGTTAGACTGACTGCCTATCATGCATGAATCCTCAATACTGTATAAACAGAAAAAAAAAACTGGAAGTGGTGCTGTGGCTCAAGTGATAGAGCACTAGCCTTGAGCAAAAGAAGCTCAGGGACAGTGCCTAGGCCCTGTGTTCAAGCCCCAGGACTGGCAAAGAAAGAGGAAGAAAAAGGAGGAGGAGGAGGAGCAGGAGGAGGAGGAGGAGGAGGAGCAGTGCCATCTTATCATCTGACAGAGCAGCTGGTCATCTAGGTCATACCTTGACCAGGACTGCCTTAACCTTTCTCACCCTGCCTCCCCTCAATTCTCCTTATTTAACCTGAGGTCAGTGACTGCAACCCTGAAGACATCTGAAGATGTACTGAAATCCTGTCTACCCTGGCTACCACAGAATAAATTTTGTTATTGTGGCCTATGTTTTGTATCTATTCTTGTTCTAAGCCATTCACTTTGCAGTCACTGTGGAATCCAGGAAAGAAGGGGCTGATGGATGACATCTTTATGACCAGGAACAGAAACTGCTGCCCTCCCCTCTCCCAGAAGAACAGCAGACTAGCTGCCTGGAAATTTACATGTAATGACCGGGCTGTACCCTGAAGCAGGAATAATCATCTGTGTGTTGTGTGTGTGTGTGTGTGTGTGTGTGTGTGTGTGTGTGTGTCCTGGGCTTGAACTCAGGGCTTAGGCACTGTTCCTGAGCTTTTTGCTGAAGGTTAGCAGTTTACCACTTGAGCCACAGTCTGCTTGCAGCTTTTCTGGGAGGTAAGTAATTGGAGATATGAGTCTCACAGATGTTCCTACTGACTTCAAACCACAATCCTCATATCTCAGCCTCTTAAGCAGCTAGGATTACAGATGTTAGCCACCAGCACCCAGCAGAAGCAATCATCTTATGAGAACGAGAATGCTCCCCTCAAATCACTATACAATAATAACACCTTCACCTATAACTGGGACTGTTTATTTGTCTCCTGTCCCCAGTTATTTAAACCTATGGCTCACATATCCATGATGATAGATAAATGTGAACTAAAGTAGGCCAGATGCTGGTGGCTCATGCCTATAATCCTAGTAACTCAGGAGGCTGAGCTATGAGGATCAATGTTCAAAGCCAGTCCCAGGCATACAAATCCAAGATATTCTTCTTTCCAATTAAATACCTAAAGAAGCCGGAAGTAGAGGAATGGCTCACGTGATAAGCTTAAAAAAGTCAAGTAAAAGCCAGGTGCAGATGATTCAAGCCTGTAATCCTAGCTACTCAGAAGGCTGAGATCTGAGGATTGGGATTCAAAGACAGCCTGGGAAGGAGAGTCTGTACTGTAGCTGCCTAGGACCAGGACTGGCAAAAATAAAAAGCCAAATAAAAGCTTGAAGCTCTGAGTTCAAACCCTAGGACCTGCACACACACACACACCAAGATAACCTGAAGTACTGTGGCTGCCTGTCCCATGCAATAAATCTTCCTCTCCTCTTCACCATATCTCTTTATTTGTCATATAGAGATGAGTGGCTAGACCTAGTGTGGGACTCTAAGTCTTTGGGCCTGGGGTGTGAAAGACTGGGGTGTGAAAGACTCTAAGTCTTTGGGCCTGTGGGTTGCTTGAGGATTCTTCCAAATTATTTTCCCCTGTTGACACTATCATTTATGGATAGCACCATAATACTGTTAATAATCTCTCCACTATCTCTGCTTCATTGAAGTCTTGGGATTCCATTCCAAGTCTGGCTATCTACTTAGTTGTTCCAAATTCAAGGAGACAGCTCAGTCAACATCTGTTAGGAAAATGGAGGAGAAAGGATGGAAACAGGCCAGACTGTATCTTCAACAGGCTGGACTCAATCTTCAACAGGCTAAGACTGTTTATTGGGAATAACGAGGGACACAGCCTTCTTGTGGGTTTGGAGGCTGTGTCAGGGTGGGGGTAGGGGTGGGAGTCAAGGGTTTTATGGGGTCTGGGCAAGAAGACAGGGTTACTTGAGTTTAGTATGGAGAGTTGGGGGTGACTACACATGGGGGCAGAGAATAGGGATATTCAAACAGCTGTCTTGCCTAGATGGTTTGGCCTTCACGGGGTCCAGTTCCATCTTCCAATCTCTTAACCCTTTCCAGGTCTCACAGCTCAGCCTCAGAGCCTTACAGGCTAGCCCATAGTGGAATGTTTACAGCCAGGCTCAGGTTGGATTGCTGACGTATGTATGCACCTGGAAGAGGGTAGGGGTCAATCCTTCAACATCTGTGAAAACTCTGTTTCTTGGACTGCTTGTTTTTTAATGATTTCAGGTTTCCTGTCTTCAGACATCAGCTCTATAGCCACACTCAAGTTTTTGTTGGCACCTAGAACACACACACACACACACACACACACATACATAATTATACAGTCATATATCCCTGTAGAGAACTGTGAAATGTCTGATATTTTATCCTACTTGAAAAGCTAAACAAGTTAGTCTGTCACAGTTGTAGCTGTGCTAATAGAAAACACAAGACTACTGGGTCTAGTGAAGCTAATTCTTACAGCAAAATCAGAGTTAGATTATTAGACTTAGCTGCTGGTTCTGAGTTTCAGTTCCCATAGAGCAAGGCCAACAGGGCCAACCAGAAACAGGCTGAATTACAGGAGAGAATGTTGAGCTTAGGGCCTG